ATTCTCCTTTCAAGATACAGTACTGTTGTGTGTGGTTTCTCCGGACAACACTGCTCCGGATGACTAGACATTCCGATCAATCGATCTTATATCCGAAGAGATTACTCCGAACCTGCTCGCTCTCGGTCAGGTCATTCCTGCGAGCCAATTAAATGCGTCTGAAGAGCCAGCCATCTATCACAATCCCGGTAAACCTAAGTTTCATATGAAGAACAGAGTTGCCAGTCGATATGATGTACTCAGTCCCCCTGACTCCATCGTCTTCTTAGCACTGATACTGTAAGAGGGGCAATAGCTTGCCGGTCATCTCGGCACGCGACTGTGCGATTTTGAGACGTATTGCAGTAGTTGTAGTACTGGGACTACAACGCTTAGTGAGGACAAGAGAGAAGCGCATGCGGGGTGTAAAGCTTGAGTTGCGAAAGGGTCGCGAGGTGCCTAAGCCTCTTGCGGTAAAGTGGATGGAAATTGTGGGGAACCCCCGCCTTCCGGTATTCTCTTCTTTCCATACCTCGACACCTGGCTTCTTCAAGTCACGGAACGTCGTATACCTACAAACGACATCATGGCGCCACTATCCGGATCAGCCAAGAAGAAGAAGCAGAAGGAGAAGGAGAGGGAGCTCCAACGCCTCAAGGTGATTGAGGAGCGACAAGCGGGGTCGGACACGAGCCCTGATGAAGAGATTCCAGCCACCCAGCCCTATGGACCTTGGGAAGAGCCAAAAGAGAAATGGGATGCACGTTTGGAGGCTCAACCCCCAGCTGAGAAGTACTCTGAATTCGAGAAGCGTGCAAAGGCCAGAAAAGGGCAGCCCATCGAGTATCAGCCTGCTGCGATCTCCGATGAGCAGACGCTACATGTAGATGCATCTACCAAGTTTGATAGCACCGCGAAACCTGTTCAGAAGCTGGTCTTCGCTTCAGGTATCAACTTGGACGAGTATGTCTGACTCTGTCCCAAACTGTAGTCACTTTCGCTGATCATAATCAGCACCCTCATTGACGTCATCGCGAATGCAGACGCTACGTTCCGAAGTGCAGTCCGTGTGTTCGTCGCCGGTGACGCCGAAAGGAAGGAGGCAATTGAGATCACAAGCGCCGGCGTGGAGAAACTCACCAAAGCCCTGCCTCAACTAGAGGTTATTGCTCTCCACGGCACATCCAAGCTCACTCGTACCGCATTCCCAACTATTCTCAAGAACTGTGCGAACATCGAATCCGTCACCCTGACAGTCGTCCAAGGCCAGAAGTCCAAGCGCATACGTCTCAACAGCACACTCGAGTGGCTGAACGACAAGACTTTCGTACCGAAGCTGCGATACCTCGAATTCCGTGGCGTCTACCATGAGGCTTTCCGTCGCGAGTTCCTTGAGTTCCTTACCCAAAGCAGGCCGGCACTAGAGATCGTGTTCGAATTTGACCGACCAGCAGTACTTATCCGGGATAACGAGACCATTCCACTCGACCGCGTCCCTGCTGCTGATAAATAGAGTACAAGTGCTTGAGTTGTCCGATGCCAGAGACCACCACGACGGGAGAGATGGATGTGAACATTTCTACGACGGAGGTCCTGTGTCTGATGGGCCGCGAACCGACGGGCGCATAATTGAATAACTTTAGCAACGCTCTACATACAAATTTACGGCCCGTTGGTGTCGCAAGGGTGAAAATGAGAAGGTTAGGTCATGGCAGAAGGATCGCTTATTGGCTCTTACGAGAAAGATGGAAAGACAAGCTCACACGATCGAGGAAGTTTGTCTGACTCTCGATGGTCAAGCCATAAAACCAATAAATAAAATACGACCACTATACGTGGAAACGAATCAAAAATACAAAAGCTGCGGATCCGATGCGTAACAGGACGTAAGATACTGACTGAGCCACGAAGCGTGCGTACCATCTTTTCCGTCGAGCTTAGGAATCATCGGCGACAAGAAGGCCAAGCTCCGTATGATGGAGATTTAATGAACGGAGATAGTCAAAGAATCCGAGCAGTTGAGACTTATACAAGCTGAACCGTTACGTGCGTTATCCAGCTATATCTGCACCCTGCGCGACAGGTTTGGTACGTATGATCGAGTGATGAGACTCATATTGGCTACCGTTGTTCATGTTTGTTCATGATTACAACCAGGACAGCGGGCACTTCTCCTTCTTTACACATAGCCAAATTGCGAGTGCGAGTGCGAAAACGATTGGGTAGTGGGTCCAGCCGCTGTTCTTGTGGCACCGGCGCATCAGCCCAGGCACTAATGGAAGCTAACGCGGACTTTATGCAGGCTGCTGACGGCCAATCGAAGCATCATCAGCGCAGACTAGACGTCAAATCTTCGATACCACCTCAAAACGTGATGCGGCTATGCTGTTTGTCGAAGCGGGGCTCAAACGCAAAGGTCCGATTTGCGAACCGTCATCAATCTGCATATATCCTCGTACCTCGCTCGGAGGATGACAACCTCAAACGCGATCTTCCCTTGCCGCAATGTCAACAACTCCGATGTCATCAGATTCAAGCCATCCAGGTGCTCCTATTGAGCTAGCTTGGTCGTCTCAGCGACCCGAGCTGCGCAGCGAGAAAGAAGATTGGATGGGCGTGACGAATCCCGTTGAAAGGCGAAAATTGCAGAACCGCTTAAACCAGCGAGCACGGAGTGAGTGGCCATGTCGGACAGTTCATCAAAAACAAAGGATACACCCTAACACGTCTCAGGAAACCGCGCCCAAAAGAAGAATGCCATCATCAAACAGCCACACAGTGTCATCGTACCGGACGAGACCCACGAGAGCGATGCATCGGGTCGTGAAGGCAGCACGTCCGATGCATCTCAAGATGGCTCCAGCGAACCGGATGGCACAGTGATGCGGAAGTCATGCATGGCCGCTCATCCGAAAGTGAAAGAGCTTATGCAACGCTTCTCCGAACATGCATATGCCAGCTACATGCAAGGGACACCCGCTTTGTCACACTTACCACTGCTTCTCAAGTATAACGTAGCTAGTGGTCTCGCGCGAAATGCCGACCTACTGGGGGTTACAGCACAATACTATGATTGGTATGGCATCTCGCCACTAAACAAGCAGGGTCCACTCTTGGGTTCGGGAGCTGGAGCGGAATGGCCTGCATGTCTACAACCCACTGAATTACAAAGTTCCATAGAGCATCATCCCTGGCTCGATCTGTTCCCCTGGCCCAAGGTCCGCGACAACATGCTGCAAGCGTTTCAGCGAACGGAGCCCGTTGACTATGAAGACGAGCTATGCATCGATGTCTGCGAATACAACCATCTAGATCGCAGACCAATACTGATAGTATGGGGTCCTCCCGAAGATCATCGCAGCTGGGAGATCGATCCCATATTCCTGGAGAAGTGGGGCTGGCTGCTCAGCGGATGCCCCGAAGTGTACGAAGCCACAAACTACTGGCGCGGAACACGAGGCGAGAAGCCGATTACTCCACAGCAGTGGCATAACACGATACAAAGGAGTTTGCCAGACCAGTTCCGCTAACGGACTTACGACAAGGGTGTCAGCAGAGTGCGGGTGGAAGTGGGCCATGCATGCATGACGCCATGGGCTCGAGATGACAAAACCATACCTATACAATGCGAACACGCTGCATCGTATCTGTATTACAGGTGTTCAGGCTGCCAACTATAGCGACTAGACTGCTGTCCCTCGAAAAGCGCGGATAATATGGACCCCTTCGCACCACCGCCAAAGCCGAAGACCGCCTTGGGCTGGCACCGCGTCCTGTCGCCCACTGCCAACGTCAAGGTTTCACCCATCTCACTGGGTGGAATCAGCATTGGCAACTCGTGGAGCAAACTGTTCGGTGTTAGTGAGGATGCCGACTCTCTGCTGGACACCTATTTTGACCTCGGCGGCAACTTCATCGATACCTCGAACACCTACAACTCGGAAGAATCTGAGAAGCTTATCGGCGAGTGGATGGAGAAGCGAAACAACAGAGACCAGATGGTGATCGCAACTAAGTATGGAGCGGGCTACAGAGCCTACAATCGGGAGAACGAACCGCTGCAGAGCAACTTTACAGGCACAAGCGCAAAGAGCATGCACGTATCAGTTCGAGACAGCCTCCGCAAGCTCAAGACTGATTACATCGACATTCTATACGTACATTGGTGGGATGTTGGCGGTAATGTGGAAGAGATCATGCGCCATCTTCATGCACTTGTCATGGCTAGACAGGTCCTCTACCTCGGGGTCTCGGATACGCCAGCCTGGATAGTTGTCAAAGCAAACGAATGTATGTACCGCGAGCATATACGACCCTCCACTTGGACCATCGCTAACCTGCCATACAGACGCCCGCCGCCACGGCCTAACACCCTTCTCTCTTTATCAAGGCCGATGGAACGCCGCCTACCGTGATATGGAAGCCGAGATAATACCCATGTGCGAGGATCAAGGCTTAGCAATCGTATCTTGGGCCTCGCTCGGTGGCGGCCAACTAGCTACGACCTCCCAAAGAAAGGCTGCAGAAGAAGACCCAAAGTCTGGTAAAGGCTTTTACAATGCATCAGAGAGCGACATAGCAGTATCGGGGGTTCTAGAGAAAATGGCAGAAAAGAAGGGTGTTACGTTGCAGCAAATGGCGCTGGCATACCTGTTCCATCAATCCACCCACGTTTTCCCTATTGTGGGTGTGCAGACTGTGGAGCATGTCAAGGCAATGGTACCCGCATTGAACATCTCGTTATCGAAAGAGGAAATTGAGGAGATACACGGTGCTGCGCCGTTCAACCCACTGTTCCCTCAAAACTTCATCTTTGGCGGTCGACCGTATAGCACGAGGCTGACGGCGGCGGACCAGGCGAATTACCAGATGGCCGCTTGGATAGACGCACCACCCAAGAATCAGGGGTACGCGCCACGGTCATGAGTGAGACTACGAGTACGGAGGAAGCGAAGAATCATGTAAAATGAGTGTATTTAGCTGTTGTGCAGCTTCTATGTAGTAATGAAGTATGATCAAACGCCCTCTCAATTTGTTTCCCAATATCTTCTCTTACCCAACTACCACTTCTCTCCTTCTTCAGGTCTTCTACCTGTTTTCTGTACAACCCGCCAGTTGAAGGCTTTCTTCCGTATGGCAATGATGTGTTCAGTCTAATGATATAAAGCGAATGATTAGAGTTTGAAACAGCTTTACTGTTTCTTGCGTAACGTGGCACGACCACGAGTTCGTTACCTAGATGTAGAACATGGTATCCCTGATCCTGGGGTGGATTTGTACATCAGCCGCAGTCGGATCCTGCCCCGCGCCCCCAGCCGCCTCAGTTCCAGCCATAGAAGGTGCTGCACTCGGCGTCGGCGTATCGAACAAATTCGCCAGATAGCAACGAGCACGTTCACAAGCCAGGTCAGCATAGTAAGCTGGTGGGCAGAGGCTCACAGCTTTAGTCGCACGACCGAACAAGTAACACATGTTATGCGTGAGGTCTTCGACAATATCGGCGATGTTGCCAAATTGCGGCGGAATCTGCTTCGCATAGATTTGGCGGAAGATCTCATCATGTACGATGTAGTAATGACAAGGACGAGCCGTTCCCTGAAGTGCAGCGTGTGCCTGGAGGAAGAAATCCCAGTTGTGGGCTTCAGTCACACCTCGATCAACGACGGTACCAGGCTTTGTGTTGCCAGAGCGATCGCAATCTTCCAGCTTGGTGGGGTAGAACCGTGTCTTGTGTCGCTTACCGCAGATGACAATGGTGAAGCGTGGAAGTCCTTTCTTGGTGTCGGGTGCTGAATAGACCGCCTCGCATGCCTTCCGCAATTGCGGAAGCTCCTGTGAGAGAACCATATCGTACTGTCCTTCTGATACTCCATCGCGGTAGATCAGGATATTCTCCGGAAATGCCGGATGCTTGCCCTTAGTTTTCCATAGGTTGAGACGGGATTTCAACATCTCAGCAAGGTCATCGACGTTCTCTTGTCTTCCGCGCTGGATACGAAGCGTAGCGGGCCATTGACCGAGGAACCTGTCGACGGACGCGACCATTGCCGAGACAGATGGCGCATTAGAAGCCGAGCCAGGCGAGGGATGAGTGACGTCGATGCCGACCACCATAGTCTTGTTCTGATCAATAATACCCAAGTTCTTGTTCTCGACGGTCTGGTTGATACCTCCAAGCTTCAAATTGAATTTCAGAGCGACATTAGCAATGTACTGATCGCGACCGCGATCCTTCGCCAGCTTGGAGCCCACAGAACAGATAGTATGAAGACCATAGTCTTTGTCTGCAAGCGTCTTGATGCGCTTGTACAAAGGTATGTTAGCCTCTGGCAACACAATGAACAGGAGATCTAGAGCACCGGCCGCTCTCTTGAGGAATGGACCAAGAGAAGCGTCGTCTGGGTCCCTAAGCAGAAGAGGCTGCGCGGGAAGTGGCGGCTGAGCATTGACACCGATCTTGAGCAATCCTTGATGAAACTCTTGCATGACCATACCCAGGCCATCGAGGTCGAAGGAGTCACGTTTGTTCTGTAGAGAAATCATGACGGTTGACCATTTCGCTAGATTAGCACCGGTATTGAATTTGATGTTGATCATGTTCCAACTGCCGAAACGTGGATCGGCAGTCTTGTTGTTCTTGTAGATAACCTTTGGGCCGTTGAGAACGCGTCCAGGAACTTTGAGGAGACCGGGAGTGATCGTGAGTCCGAAAGAACGCTTTGGAAATATTAGTACGCAATTTGCGAGTTCCGAAACAAAGCGCTTACCAGCAGGACGTTGGTATTCTCGTCCAAACCAACGGTCGATACACCTTCGTTGAGAATGAATTTTGCGTTCTCCCACGGCTTGCGTACAGCGTAGCCGATCATCGCCTGTGTCTGGCGTGAATCAAGCTTCGCCTTGGATGGCTGACCTGGAACGACAACGCAGACCTCTGCAGGCAGAAACATCGGGTTTTCCCGACTGCCACAATTGACTACGGGAAGCTCAGGGCGTTTGAGGGTGATGTTGTATGCTATATAGTGTTAGTGTCGTTATAATGAATAAGTAGAAGAGCATACTCGTCTTGAAGAAGTCAAACACAGTGATATATCTGCCCGATCCAGAAGGTGCTGGACCCTTAGGCTGAGCCTTCCCTTTACCCTTACCCTTTGAGGCGCCTGCTTCTGCTTTGGGTGCACCAGAAGAGCTTGCATCACCATCAAGCCAGAATTCAATATCCTTGGCACCTACACCATGCCCCTTGATGCGTGGTCTCTTACCCATCTTGTGCCCATCGTCCGTCCTAGCAAGTCCAAAGATAGTCTTAATACGCGGAATGACCTGACCAGCTTTGTTACGTTTCTCAGGGAGATGAGTTGTCTGGACGCGAACCATCTTGAGGAACTTCTCTAGAGCGCGAGTGTTTCGGGTGCCGTAGCTGTCCATGAGCGCTGGTAAAGGACTGGCTTGGTAAAAGGCTCCGTGACTGACGTTAATATTGACCAGGATGCGACAAGTCGCGACGCGCACACTGGAGAAGAAGCCACGAATGACTTCCAAGCCATAACCTAGATCACCTCTTGTCGCATTCTGGTTTAAGGAGAAGCTCTTTGATGAACCGATCGTGGCGAGGTTGTTTGCGGACTTGACATGATGGTTCAAGAAAATGTTCAGCGCTTGGGTCAATTCTTGCTTGCCACCAAAATCTTGACCAAGGTTGGTTGAGTTCATCCAGTTCACCAGTTCGCCGATACTGTGAGTCCTGACGAACTTGATTCTAACTTTGTATACGGTAGCGTTGGGAGCTGGGTCGTCTTCGCCTTCAGAGCGGTGCTGGATCTCGATGATGTCTTCATCATGCTTGAACTTTGTCTTGGAGACAAGTGTTTGACGGAAATCAGTCGCAATATTGCCTTTGTGAGGAGTCATCTCAGGAGATTCGAGCAAGAGCTCCAGTGCCCTATGACGCTTCCTACCAGCGACTTCGGGTTGGACGTCGACGTCGTACCGGTGCAAGACCATATTCGATGGTGGCAGCAACTCGACATAGTTGGCAGTGAGCTCCACCTTTATGCCTTTAGTGCCGTATCCGGGCCTAGTTGGATTGCCTTCCGACAACTTCAAAGTACTCAGGTCGAGCACCTTCTTCCCAGCCGGATGCATAGCATCTTCAGTCTTCGCGACCTTCGGGTTTAGAGGTTCAGCATTGCTACAAAAGCAGTCAGTACGATGTTCAATTAGATTGGAATCCGACTTACGGAAAAACCTGGTTCTCTACCGGCGCGCCTCTTCCACCACCACCACGACCTCCGCCTCTATCGCCCCGAAAGCCGCCACCTCGGTCGCCTCGAAAACCACCACCTCTGTCTCCACGGAATCCGCCTCCTCTATCTCCACGGAATCCACCTCCTCTGTCTCCACGAAACCCACCATCTCCTCTTCCTCGACCTCCGAACTCACCTCTTCCACCTCCACGGCCGCCTCCGCGGTCACCTCGGGAACCCCCTCGACCTCTTTCACCCCCACCTCTAGGTGCGGACATCGTTTGAATGGCTTCAGTGAGATCTTTGGACTGGCTGGATGATGTATGCGTACGACGCTGGTCGACGCGATACGCTAGAAAATATGGGCTTCACCAAAATTTGTATTGATCGCGATGTTTTGAATGAATTAATATTTTGCTGTGGCTGTCGTTTCGTTGACCGCCAGGCTGAAGGCACCAGGCTGGACAACGCAAAGACGAAACGACGAAATGACGAGATGCAGTGAGGCGAGGTGACAAGCACGCGAAGTGGGGTAAACTGCACGCGAGCCGCCCTCCCGCGGACCCGTCTGACACGCGACGCGTAGTTATTTGTGCAGTCGAAGGTGGGGTCAACGATCTCCTAGCGCCCGCAATGATCATAGGGACGATGGACACGAACCGGGCCAAAGAAATGTAGCTCATGATGTCGGTGGCACATTTGAAATCAGGTTATCGTTTTTGGTGTAACCCACGCTTTCTTGCAGCGTACGCATTTCACCGTTTCCGTCCGAATCTATTTTCTCTTTCTCATTCACAATATACAAGTTTTAGTTACGCTGCAAAAGGAAAATTTCTATACTCGAGTCGCTCCCATTGCCTTGTAGCTCCCTGTACGCTTCAGCCTGTCTCCTGCTGGTAAATGTTGTTCGGCTGGGTGGGCGCAGACCCTGGTGCGACGGTTGTGGAGGCGCAGGCAGCTGCTTCTCAACGTCTGGCGGCGATCGCTTTTCCATGGTTACACCGCGTCGGTTATCGGGACGGGATTGGAGAGTTTGCATGCGATACGATTCCTGCTCAGACTTTGCTGCCGAAGAAGACGACAACTTTCCTGAAAGGAAGTTTGTCGATGGGCGACGACGGGACGACGACTGGGAGGTGTTGCCGAAGACGCGAGGGAACATCTTGTTCATGAGGGGTTTGCAACCTGGAAGGCAGCCGCATACGACACCGACACCACTTTCCACCGACATGATGATGAATGTGGTGGCTCCGTACCCTGTGCGCAATGTCAGCCGGCTGTTGTTGCAACTCAAGTTCGAGCGGTACGTACAGAAGACATCGAAGGATACCAGATATTGATGGGTATAGTACAGTCGCACGACACCGGCAATACAAACACTGTTATATGTTAATTTCAATCAGAATGATCGAGAACGGCGAACTCACATAACACCCAGTGAAAACATGCTTATCAATGTCACGCGCTGACGGAGCGATACCTGGACGTTCATAAGGTTTCTTGCAGGCCACAGAAATATGACAAAGTCGCTGAAAGTGTTCTGTGCCGAGTGGAAGTAGTAGATGGCCTTGATGTTGAGGCATTTAGCTGTGCCGATATATTTGAAGATCTCCCAGTAGGTGCTTGCCGGCCTGGACTGATTGTCAGCCCCCTGTGCAGTAGGTGGATTCGAGGTATGTGCTTACGAGCATTGGAACAAGGTGATGAAGAAGCAGGCCGTGTTCAAAGATACCGTGTAGAAGATCATCAAACGACAAAACCACTTGTCTAATTTCGATGGAAATATGCGGATATAGGTGAGAAGAATCGCGACCTTCATAAAAGTGATAATGGCTGTGAAGAGCAACTGGCTGGACATGCCCATCTGCATTGCTGTTAGCATGGGCGCCACGTCTGGTCGTGCATCATACCTGTGCGGACTTCATCGTCCCGAAAAGTCGCGATGGACGAATATCCCCTGCTCAGTGTAAGCTATTGTGCATCTGAATGATCACGATTTACCCACATAGATGGTACCCCATCTGGTATTCTGGCAGCATCGATATTATGAGCATGATGTTACTTCCAACAGACATCACCTGGATACGTTAGTGCTCTGCGCTTCATTCGCCGGGATATAAGGTGTATTACTTACAGCTGCTACCATCATCGCCCAGTCATCCCAACCCAGTGTATTGACAAGAACCGTTCGACAATAGAATCGACAAGAGACGAAACCAATGACCAGAACAGTCATAGGAATCAGCACGGCCATCGCCAGTGGCAACTGATTAACTGGGTCGACATAGTTGGGCGGCGGAAACGATGCGAACTCTTCTGGCGTTGGAAATCTTGAAGTCATGTCGTGTTTACCCAGGCGCAAAGAGTCACAACAACCACATGGGTGGCCCGCGGATAGCACAAAAGCAATCCTGAATAGTCGGGAGCGCCCGCGGCTATTATAACCGGCATGCTTGAAGCAAGAGCCGGCATACACACCAGCTACCCCGCGGCCTGTAGGAGCAGGACGTGAAACTTACTTGAAGTGAGCTATGCACGTCCCTTGCATAGTGTGAGTGGCGCTTTCCTGCCACCTGCTTGAAACGACACCACCGCCCGAGAATCGCGACTGGCCCAGACAACGTACACTTTTGTGCGGCTGAAAACACCCAGGCGTTTTCATCGTTATGTGGCTTTTCGTGTCATCTTTTGGACGGGATCCTTCGCAATAGGCGACGAGAATATCGTACTATCATTAAATTGGCCAACTTTGGGTACGGAGCATAAACACGCCTGACCAACGGAAGGTATGCGCAGTGTTGGCAGGTTGCGCATTTCATTCTTGCCATATGGTGTAGCCAGCATCTCCACCTAGGTGGGTGGGCGCGAAGATCGTACTGATCTCCCTATGGTTCCCACGGCACCACACGTGGACGCAAAACCGTTGAGAGACCCATGCGTTCTTACCATATTCTCTCTCATGGTCCGAAACATGATCAATTCCGGTATTGAGATGTCGATCGCACTGTTGGGTAAAACGGTGAAGGTCGGCGACATGAAGAAAGCCAGATGGATTCTCCGACTGAGAACCAATGAAAGTCACTCAATCATGCAGCAATTACGAAGGTGCTTGACGTGTGGTGATGGAGGTCCGCAAAGAGGCAGGTAGCTCGCTTGATCTGACGAACTTGCCTTAGCTAGCACAGGGGCTCCAGAGATAAGGCTGGACGTGTAGCCGAACATCGTAGAACAACCCTATAGTAAGCTCCCGTAATTGCAGGGATAATCGGAAACATTGGTGCATTCCATACCCAGGGAACAGCCTTGAACGGTGCACGTGCTATAGTATGAAAGAAGTGGGCCGTATCCCGTGTACTCGGCTCGTGGAGATTGGGGGCGGAATGATGGTTGAATATGACTCGATTGGGACGCCTTTGACTGAGACAGCTTACAAAATCCTCAAACAGTAGCGAAGGGAGGTTATGAAGTAGATTGATTCGTTGTAGTTCGGCAGTTGCTCAAGGTTCGTGTTTCAACCGAGGTAGGTGATGACAGCGGCAGAAACCAAGCTACGGTTGAAGCCACGGTTGATGGCGTGGCTTGGCGCGTCTCTCAGCTCACCACCACCATAGGCGCAGCAATAAATCCTCATCCTTAGTGTCAATATGTCACAGACTAGCTACGCTTACGGCGAATTACCGAGGTCTTATCGCAGTGCGACTTATTACTCTTCTACATGATGCATCTCTTCCTCTCCCCATCTTCGCAAAGCTCGTCTCGAGGGCGTGTACGTCATCGGCGTCCTCCGGGCTTCCTCATGCGTACAAATCAGGATTTGAGTGCAGGCAGCGACTCTGCGAAACACACCAGGAGTGCCTCACAAGGTGTACTTGCCACTGTGGCTCGGTGGACGTCCCCAGCCACCCAATAATTCATGCGAAACGCACGCACCATATTGCGATACTTCAACGAATCCTTCATAACATGGCTAAAATGTATCTAGGGTCGTTCGCCCGTGTCCAGGCTCTGTACTTACTTTCCAAATTACGTCCCACATTCGCCCTTTACGAATCAGCTGATGCCTGGTCCTCTGTATTATGCGCAACGGATCTTGAACGGCCGTACGTTCAGACTTCTCCATGTTGTTCCCGCTATCGATCAGCATCAACAGCTGGAGTGCACTTGTCGCCTTTACAACATCGATGATGCTCCTCCATACGAAGCATTGTCTTATGTATGGGGCAGTCCTGCCCCATCTGTTGAGATTCTGTGTAATGGACAATCAGTCGAAATTGGGCCAGAACTGTCGTATGCGTTGAGGAGATTACGCCCCCGAGACTCCACACGCATCATCTGGGTGGATGCAGTGTGTATCAACCAGCAGGATGACGCAGAGAAGAGCCATCAAGTGCCCCTAATGGGCCGCATCTATTCATTGGCGAAAAAGGTTGTGGTATGGTTGGGGCCAGGAAACAAGCAGTACACCTGGCGAGCTTTTCAAGTTTGCAAGCATATCGCCATTGCTTGTTACGAGGTTGATCGTCTGCGTGAAAGAGACACAGGCTATTGGGAATTACCCTTATCAGAGCGTTGGTTCGATCTGTCCACACTTCGCAGCCTACATGAATTGTTCAAACGGCCCTGGTTTTCCAGAATCTGGTGTGTCCAGGAAATTCGCCAAGCCAAAGACGCTCTTGTGATGTGGGGTGAAGACGAAATCCTGTGGGACGATCTGTATGTGAGCGCATGTTTCATTGGCTACAATTCCATGTTCCTGGATCTTAGCGACCACATTACATCTTTTTCCGATCACATTCCCGTCCTTAACGCAATCAAAATGGGCGAAAAGGTTACGTATCGTCTTCTTGATGCGTTGGAATGCTTTCGTGATGGATTCTGGGCTTCTGATCCCCGGGGCAAAGTATACGGCCTTCTGGAACTAGTCTCATCAAGATTTGAAGTCGAAGCCCTCAGTGTGAGTTACAGCAAGAGTGTGGGACAAGTATATGCGGACACTGTCTTAGTGGACATCCAACAACACTCGCGATTGACCGCCTTCGCTCACATCACACATGATATGGATTACGATGGGCCAGGCTCAAGGTACCATGAAGATCTCAAGAACCCCAAAGGGATATCAGAATATAGGTCATGGGCACCACGATGGGATAATATGGAATGTGCAGGGAAGTTGGGTATCGACGACGCAGATTGTCCTTGGAGTGCGTGTGGAGAAAACTTAGCGGCTATGATCGTCACGAAACCAAGTGAACCGACACAGCTCTGCCTTAAGGGTGTGATCTATGGCAGAGTAGACGAAGTCGGCAATGTCATGCAGTTCTGGAATCTGAAGGATCCTGAGCACGCCAACGACCCCAAGTTTGCCAATGATAGCAGGGATGCCGACGAAAGCGATCTTGATTGCGCAGACTACTGGGCCAGCTTTGACCCAACTGGAAGACATCCATATGTGGATAATCTTGAAAGAACAGACGTGGAATCGTCTCCAGAAAGGTTCGCTCGGACTCTGACAGCAGGTGGATGGGGAGAGGACAATGAATATATTGAGGGTCTAAGCACTGAAATGCAAGCAAGACACAGTGCGGCGTGCGTTCATTTGCTGCTTCGCTTATTACACATCCAAGAGTTTGGCGAAGAGGGCGAGTATGTCCATAACGCCGATTCTCTCCGGTTCCAAATTGATGCTCGCCATGCTTGCGACAATCGGCGCATGTTCTGGACAGACAAGGGACCGTATGGTCTAGGTCCACACTGCATGCGGAGAGGTGATGTTGTGGTTGTACTCTATGGCGGAAACACACCCTATATATTGCGGCCAAGAGGAGACGGATACATATTTATAGGCCAGGCTTACGTCGATGAGATCATGCACGGAGAGATTTTTCACGACTCGAAGATATTTGCGCCACAGGAACAAGTCTTTTGTCTTGTGTAGGTAGCAGAGTAGGCTGCAAAGTTGACTTCCACAAGTCATTGCGGTTGATGCATGTATCTGCTCCCCGAGTACATTCTGTCAGACTCCAGTAGCTTATTCCTGGGTTCAGTTGCCAAACCCCTCTTCCCCTTGGCTGTCGCCACCCCGATCGACCCCGTTGTTGTTCACTCCGCCACGCAAATGTCCCTTTGGAGATGCAATCAGATTATGATGCCTTTTGGACCGTCTTTTCCAAATATCCGGGTTCCTCCTCCTGATGACCTGCCGATGCGGCACCGACAAAGTCATTTTCGTGACAATGCCAGCCATCGTCATGACCTCTCCAGTCCGAGCCGATCTTGATCTTGTCGAGAGGTACCCATTTCTTGCGGTCGTCAGGTTTAGTTCCAGTCTCCGTCACGCCCTCGATGAAGATACGGGCCCACTGCACCCCACCCTCATCTGTGGCCTTCTCCAGAATCTCTCCTTGCATATCAGGCCTGTACTCGATGTTGTCCAATGTGAAGGTCTCGACGATGTCGCAGACCCTATGCGGAGCTAGACCTATGGCCCCGCCGTCCATTACCCTCTGGAAAAACGCGGTGTAAGGTTCGAGGATGTTGTACGGTGTACCCGGCGGAGGGAAGACCATCGTGATTGTACCGAAGCGTGTGATGGTATAGAATTGTGTAGGTACCGAATGGTGGTTTCGATGTAGAGATCAAGAATGAGGAAAAGGATAAGTGGGACAAGTAAAGGCGCGGACCCTGTCGCGAGCGTTTGTTTGCTCACGTGAAGCCGCAGACTACAGGCAGACACGAGAAGACTTCATACACACCGAGAGACTCTTCCTTGGACGGTAAACGCGTTGGATTCAAGCCTGATATCGCATTGCATTAACCATCGAAAAACGCGCGTATGAACATTCGATCCTGCGACCCCACGTAGTGTGATACTATTTACAGAAACACTGTAACCACAATGCTCCGATCATTCAATACCAGATCTTGAGCTATGACAACGATCAGGTCGCCTTGATTTGATCAAGATCAGCATCGCTACCCACACCGGATCTTTCCTCGTCAGAGCTAGTTCGCTCATCGTGATCAACTGTCTGTGCATTCTGTCTCTTGGCCACCTCTCTCGCGTGCAGTAGCCGGATTATAAGCGCAGTGGCAATCAGCGCAGCGCTCAAGAATGTGACCGTGATGAAACCCTTGCGATACTGAGGTGCCTCGACCTGCTTCCAGACCAGGAGTGGTAACCATGCCTGTAGCACATAAGCCATCTCATTCATAGCTGCCACCACAATGGCTCGTTCCTCGTTGTCGTGTGTGCAGATCTCATGAGCCCATGCAAAGCATAAGCCGGAAAGACCACCGCCGAATCCGGAGAGAATGTAGCAAGCCCACTTCCACTTGATGGGGATATCCCAAATCGCAAGACTGGTAGAGCATATGATGTTCATGCATCCGCCGAAGACGATCGGTTGCCATCTGGATCCTTTGAGGATACTATCGCTCGTCCATGCATACAAGAGTGTAGTAACGACTTGTACTGCATTGGTGGTAGTTGGGTACTGCGAATCATGTTAAAGAGAATACCCTCGACATGATGGTATAGTAGTACTTACCGTGTTGATCTCGCTGACGGTATACTTTGGATCCTTGCTGGCTTTGAGGAATTGCTGGAATACCGGTTGCCCACCCGAGGTACCGTTGTTGAAGAATACATAGAGTGGAACGAGAGCCCAGATGTGCCACGACGTAAAGATCTTCTTGACCTTAGCTCTGGTATATGGCTTCCGCTTTTGCCGGCCTTCGAGCTCCATGCGCTTCTGGGCGAATGCGACTTCATCCTTTGTCAAATAGAAGGGCTTGGAGATTTCGGGAAGATCAGGCAGTGCGAAGAAGCCAAGCAGTGCGATGGGCAAGGAGATGACGCCATCGATAATGAAAAGCCACTGCCATCCCTTGAAGCCGCCGCGTCCGTCGAGCTTGTATACACCAGCCATCAGGTAACCAGAGAACATGGTTGCGATGGCGCCGCTGGTGTGGAAGATACAAGATCTTTTGGCGAGTTCTTCCCTTCGATACCAGGATCCGATGATGTATTGCATGCCTGGGTAGAACGTACTTTCAGCAAGACCAATAAGAAAGCGCAAGGCGTAGATGGTTTCTGCATTATTGGCGCGGCAAAGACAGAATGTCAAGACGGCCCATGTAAGCTGTTGCCGTTAGTACATAGCTTCCACTACCGCATTACTAGGCTGTCGTACCTCCATAGCTGGTATCCAAATTGATGGGCGCACTCGGGTTAGGATAATGTTGCTGGGTAATTCGCCGATGACATAGCCAACAGTCCAGCAAGTTTGCATGTAGTTGAGCTGGTTGCCGTAAAGCCCAAGATCCTCCTTCCTGTCGCAATGTCAGCTAGCGTTTCCCAACAGGTTCTTGCTACATACATTCCAGATACGAAGGCGCTGTTGATGTTCGACTGATCGAGGTACTTAATAAAGTACCCCAAAGACGCAAAAGTGAGCAAAGCAGCGTCGAGCTTGAACATGAACCATCGTTCTTCTTTCGGCTTGTCCAAGGTATCCCAAAGGTAGTAATACCACTTGTGCGGCTTCGCTTTCAGCTCTTCGTCAGACTGAATGACGGTTATTGCAGGGTTGACTTCCGTCGAGACGTCTTGAGGTTGACCCATGTTCGTGGGCTATCGGTATGAAGCGTGTCTCTAGAGTAAGAGTATTGGCGAAAGCCTGGGCTTTATCGAGCAAGCAACACAAGCCCTCTTCGCCATCGCTGAGACTGTCTACGGCTTTTGCTTGCCGGCATGGCGTTCAACACGCCAGTGGCAAGTGGTTGCTGCATAGTGGGAAGCGTAGCGCGATTCGACATACTGGGGATGCTATGGCGTAATGGCAGGGTCCGCGTGGGGTCGATTCATCCGCGTAGCTAGTCTGGACCCAACAAGCATAGACTAATATTGCGTATCTGATGCTAAGATGTTAGAAGATCGACGTGGTGCATGGCAATGCTGTGGTGTCGCGTGTCGTGATCAGGCATGCATATGGCGTGCCTGACTCAGGAGATAGCCAAGCGAGTAACGCCGACGTTCGTAATACCTCTCATGCACTTCAACGATACTGGAATAGAATCTGCACAAGTCTTAGTCGTGATCCGAACATTGGAACAGCATGAAGTCATGGGCGCGTTTGTGCTCCAGAATTTGTGGGCACCTTGCTTGGTGAAATCAAGAAATTGCTCACACTCATACATTCTCCTATAAACATGTCGCTTCAAGTCGTCGCTCGATGCCTGGATTGGCAAAGAAAGCTTTCATCCTCTCCATCTGCTCTGCTTTCGCAGAATGCCATTTATCAGAATGCCCACGCAGTCGCTCTTTGCCTGCTTTTTCCAAATCAGAGTTTACCCAAGCTATGAGTTCTTTAACATAGCTCGCTTCCTGGTCTCTCAAACTGTGAAATGCCTTGCCATAACCCTTCGTCTCAACTCGGACATTATATTCTAATCTCATCGCATCTTTGCTTGGAAGCTTTGCCTGTCCCGAGAGTACCTTTGCAACAACCATGGCTTGGAACTCGAACAACGTGAACGTCGCTGTGAAGAACGGCACACCGACAAAGGCGAGCGTTGGATCATTGATGAAGAAGATGTCTTTGTGCAGATTGTGAAACTGTGTACCGTCTGTCACTAGTAGCGTTTCGTCGGCCTGATCGACTGGTGTCTCGTCCGAGGTGAGCTGAGATAGGAAAGGCAGTGTTAGGTGGTAGCCTGTGCAAAGTATGACATGATGAATGTCACAGATCTTTGCACCTGACTTCAGCGTGACGGTAGCTGGAATCGGCTGAGTGTCCTTCAATGAGGCTAATGTGTTCACTCGTGGTTCGTCGTACGATACTATCTCATCGACGCGGTACGCGTTATCTGGGAGCATGCTTGGAGGCAGGTCGAATTTTCCGTTCCTTTGGCTTTGTATAATCTTGTTTGCATACGGGCTGAGCTCGCGCGCGATATCCGTTGCTGACACACTCCCACCGACAAGTAGATAGTTCTGAAGTAAAGTCAGGCCGAGATAACGAAACTCTTCTTAATCGGATTTGTACGCACCTTGTTATGAGCATTCTCGGGCTTTCGATAAAGTTTGGAGTGCTGTACTCTGTCGGGAAATTGTCGCTTCCAGTCTGCGAGTCCAGGCGTATCAGGAATCCTCGGCGCGTGGTAATGACCAGATGCAACTACTACAGCATCAAAGTTCTAGCCCAAGGTTATTATCGCGAAGATGAGTCTACAATCACAAGGTGCTTACCTGAGAAGATTCGTGTCGCCTTAACACACCTTGCGCATCGGTCTGCAAAGTCGCAGTCTCGACAGTCCATAATCTACCGTTCTTGATGACGCTTCTCACATCGGTGTCGTACTGTGTCAACTCATGCACCCCCGTTGAGAAAGTAGTAGCCTGTATGTAGTCGCACAAGACATCGTGCGTTACATAATCCTCGGTCCCGGGTGGAAACTGGTTCAAGGTGGTTTCTAACAAACGTGTACTCACGTTGTTCTTGAGGCCCACGTAACACGGACTGTGGGAAGTCATTCGAACGTACAATTCGATAGATAATCTTGTGGTACGTACCCTGGTGGCGCATGAAGCAGGCTTTCGACCTCTTCCAGGTCTTCGCTTGCGTGAACACTGTCAGCTCTCGAACGCTTCGCACTTGAATATGATGGCTCCAAGGGCTTTCGCTCGTCGTAACGCCTTTCATCTCGTCAGTTCAGCTGGAAATCCAAGAGTTTTGGGTCAAGTACCATATGCCTCCTGCAGCACTAGATCGCTCAAAGACTACGACCTCAATGCCCTCCTTCTTGAGATGCGCTGCAGCAACGACACCACTAATGCCTGCGCCGATTACAGCAACACGGTTACTCGGGAAAGACATGCTCTGGATATTGCGGAGACAACAGCAGGAAAATCTTCGCGGTCTGGGTGTTGTATCGATCCGGAATCATTAACCGACGGTCACTTCGACACACCTTGTCGAAACCGACATCGAAAGGCATCTACATGTCAGCATTCTTCGTGCGAATCCTCGTTACATAGTTTGTCAGCGTTGAGCATATCTCCGTTGTGGTGTGAGTAGACACAACGCGTGATGGTGGATACGAATGGCATCATGGGAAGCCCTCGTTACGAGAACACCAGACAGTCGGAACCGATACATTTACCTGCGGGTAACATGCGAACTCCACAGTTTGGTGCACTTGGGATGAAGCGAAGTTTCTCCGAGCGATAACATGAGAAACGTTGACTGGATATTCGTCATCTGCAAGATTATGATGTGATCAACCCCGCAACACATGTCGCAACCAGCACGCGACGCCGCCATATCGCTCGACCATTTTTGTAACTTGAATTAGTGAGCGAACAACGAGCAGGAAGTGGGGTAAAACAAGTCCAGGATATAAGAATGATGGCATCGCGAGTGGTGATGTTTGCACAACTGCATCACAAACGACTTTCATCATGGCTCCAATCGCAATTCCTGTTCACGAGCACATCCAGGAGAAGGATACCGTTCAACCACGGAAAGACTCTTTAGGGTTACCAGAACCTGCCAGGAAGAGACTCGAGAAAGCTGGTATCGATTTGTCGGCCGGCTATCCATACAGGCCAGCGAAACCACTCTACCTTGACGATGTCTACAAGATCAGGGATTACGATCGTGAGCACATTGATCCAGGTTCTCGAGCTGACCCAGAGAAGAAGGCGCTGTTCGGCGCTGCAAAAGAGATTATCCACTTGACCTCACACATTGGAACGGAGATTGTTGGACTTCAACTGAAGGACCTTACAGACCAACAAAAGGATGAGCTTGGTCTTTTGATCGCCGAAAGAAGTGTAGTGTTCTTTCGTGACCAAGACCTCTCGCCCCAAGAACAGAAGAAGCTTGGCGAGTACTATGGCGAAATCGAGGTTCACGTAAGTTGTACTGCTCGTGATATAGTTGCCATGCTGACAGCAGATGAAGCCGCAAGTTCCCTTCGTACCCGGTGTACCAGGAGTGACCGTTCTCTGGCCTGCTCTTCAGGCTACCGAGGTGCCAGCAAGCTTCAGGAAGACAGGCGGAGCATCTAGGTGGCACACCGATCTGGTGCACGAACGCCAACCCGCCGGGTAAGTGGCAGTGTTTCAGATGAAGCGCTCATTCCTGACTCGTTTTAGCGTGACTCATCTCCACAACGATACTATCCCAAAGATTGGAGGCGACACTCTTTGGGCTTCAGGCTATGCCGCGTATGAGAAGCTTTCTCCAGAGTTCCGGAAGATCATCGACGGCAGAGAAGCAGTGTACCGCAGCGCGCACCCGTATCTTGATCGTGAGAATACTAGCGCTGGCCCGAAGCACATCGAACGCGTTCATCCGATCGTCCGTGTGCATCCAGCAACCGGATGGAAAGCTCTTTGGGTCAACCGCGCATTCACCGACCGCATTGTCGGACTCGACAAGGCCGAGAGTGATGCCATTCTCAACTATCTCTTCGATGTATACGAGAACAACGTCGATATCCAGGTTCGCTTCCGATGGACTCCGGGAACCTCTGCATTATGGGACAACAGAATCACCATCCATAATGCGAGCTGGGACTATGGAGGGATTGAGCCAAGGCACGGAACGAGGGTAACGTCGCTGGCAGAGAAGCCGTTCTTCAAGGCGGATGCGCCGACTCGTAGGCAAGCACTAGGCCTTGCAGGACCTGAGGATATTTAAGCGCTAAGTTGATGCCACATCGATGTTGGGAACGGCAGGCGAGTGGAGCTGAACTATTGGCGAGCTCGAGAATGACACTCGACGAGACGCGTTGGAATGGGGGGCGCGTCGCGCTGATTGAGAAGCTACTCCTGTTACGTATAAGCGCGATTCGAATATGGGGTCCAAGATTGCATCATCGACCCCTTCTATCAGCTTCAATACATATTCGTCTTCAATAATTGCCATTTCATCGCTCAATTAGATCGCTGATTCTATCGCACCAATCCGTCACAGCTTCAACAATGTTTCAGCATTCTTCCACGCGAACATATCCATCTCAGCGTCAGTCAAGACCTGCGCCTGCGCCAACTTTTCGACGAATGCCCATCCATCTGTATTCGTACTAAACGGGTAATCGACCGAATACATAATCCTCTCGACTGGGCTCACTTGCCTCAATTGCTCAAACTGCCTCGCAGTGAAGAAAGCACTCGTCGTGCTCCAGATATTTGTACTCCAAACCCGACCGAACGTCGTATCGTTACGCAAACCTGTCGAGTCGATTCGGTCAATGAACATTGGCAGTCCTTCACCGTTATGTCCGATGATCATTTTCAGCTTTGGAAATCGATCGAATAAGCCTGCGCTGTAAAGTCGTAAGACATGCGTCCCGACATCGACGTGCCATCCCCACGAGTTCGTCCCAAGCCGTCCAGCCACGGCAGCAGGATAGTTTCCGGCGAACAGCTTGGACGCAATATCGGCAGTCGGGGCAGCAGGGTGCAGGTATAGCGGCACATCGAGCTCCTGTGCCATTGCAAAGACTGGATCGAAGCGTGCAGCGTCGTAGTACGTGCCGTCTTTGAGGTGATTCCATATCATCGCACCCTTGAAACCAAGCGTTGTAACGCTGCGCTTCAACTCCGCAGCAGCCTCTTCCGGCAGAGACATTGGCAGGACGGCAAAGCCAGCAAAGCGCTTAGGGTTGGCTCTGATTGCTGAGCGAACAGCATCATTTGCTGCGCGACATCCTTCTGGGTCGTCCAAACCCGTGGCAGACTGCTGGGCAAGGACTTGCATAGACAAGTGGCCGGCATCCATAGCAGCGAGTCGACCGGCTCCAACTTCCTTAAGCTTTTCCAGTACACCGGGGTAGCGCTGCACTATGCCTGCAGCAACCACCTCAGCTTCCAAAGATGGCGATGTGACATGCTCCTCAAGTGCGATTAGGCGCTTTGGTAGGTAACAAGATTTGGGAGGCGCGGGAGGTGTGGGTATACTACTCGCTGTAAGTGCGAGGGCGAAGAGAATCTTAATGTAAGTGACATGCATAGTGAACAGCTACGACTTGGAAGCGCTTCAAACGAGAGGATCACGCAAGCATCTGAGTTGCTATATACCTGATCAGGCATCCGATATCTAGTGTCGGCCTAAGCAAAGCCAGCACTGTTGCCATATTAATCTGTTGTAGCAATGCATTCTGCCGTAGCGCAAGGTTCAGCTGTGTATCGAGCAGCCTCGTCTGGCCTATGCAGTCTTCTATCGATTTCATGATGGTCTGACTGGCTAAGCTTTTAGTACCCCGCGTGGCGTCCCAAGCGAAGCTTCTCCAACGCCCGCGAGGACTAGTCGAGAGTGCGATGGAGCAAGATCCGATGGAAGGTGCGATAGCTGCGTTGATATTAGCAGGGCTTTGACGGCGTCCGCGGCCTTTTCAAGAGTAGCTGGCTCAGCTTTGGTGTGCATACATGAAACGTACGGAAGACGTTACCCAGTGACAAGACTTTGAAGCTGTTTTGACAAAGAGCACGTATAGACGTGAAAATTCGGTTCATGGTCTTGAAGTTTTGTCGCACTTATTGGAAAATGAAAATACTCGCATCTCCACTGATTACCTGCATGGTGTCAGACAACTATGGTCATGGGCGTCGCGTATATGAGGATTCGCTTTTGCGTCGGGACCACCGGTTGTTGCGCTCCAAGATCCATCAACATATTCGGTATACTGTACTTGTAGACGCAGGGCAGATATGTAACAAAACCGCAGAAGGACAGGCTAGCAATTCGACATGTAGCCTTGAGCCGAGCGGAGCCCTTGTTACACGAACAAAATGGCAGGGCTCTTGGGCGGTTCGAACAACGATTTGTAGAAGGCACACGTTGTCGGTCTCAGTCAGCTAAATCAGGCATGGAACGTTAGCGGCGTCGCTGAACAACCGGCACCTGGTTGAGGATCGCCCACGCACAGCGCACCATAAGCTTCTCGATTTCTCCTAACAAGCAATTAACGAGACCTTTCTTGTCGCGCATTACATCGTCACATCCATGACAAAAGTCAGGCCCAAATAAGCCATAATGCGTCTCTGTCGTCTCTCTGACATGCCATTCGATTGCTTTGGCACGTAAGATGTTGTAGTGGAGTATTTAGCTGTTCTCCATCGGAACGAGTGCTCGATGCAAATTGGTTGTATTGTTGCTATGTATAGCTATTGTTGGTTGTTGAATGAGTGTCGTGTGTGTTGTCTGAAAGCCCATCAGCCTTTTACTTTTCCTCCTACCTTCGCTCGGATCTTCCCGCGCCGATTGCCCTTCAGTCCGTTACTATTCCAATGTTTCTCCACCACAATGTGGCTCAGACAGCTTAGCGCGGGCCTCAAAAGCAAGCAAACGCGCCCTACATGTAACTTCTATAGTCTAGCGCCGGGGCCAGTAGTCCAAGGATACAAAAGCGACTATCTCTCTCACGTCGCATACTCAAACATTGAGCAATTACGATGAGTACCTCAGCCTCTTCCAATCTCGAGCTTGCAGACCGGGGAGAACATGCTCGAGAGCAAGGGAAAGTCTCGCTACCACCTGTGGATGGTGGAAAAGGTGCATGGTTATTTCTGGCTGCAGCATTCGTCGTAGAAGCACTGGTTTGGGGTAGGTTTACCTGTTGAGCGCGTGCTTCACTCTACATGCGTACCAGAGGTGATAGTGCTGATGCGAGTAAGGTTTCCCGTTCTCATATGGCGTGTTCCAGGAGTACTATTCGACCCATGAGCCTTTCGCTGGTTCCGACAACATTGCTGTCGTTGGCTCCTGCGCTATGGTATGTCATACGCTAACACAAACCTCATGATATACTGACTCGTAATAGGGTATCATGTACCTCAACCTAATCGTCATCTTCTCCATGCTGAAAGTATGGCCGCATCTTCAGCGTTGGGCTACGGCAGGCGGTCTGCTCGTCATGTGTCTTGCCCTCAGCCTCAGCTCTCTCTGCAACAACACTATTGAGCTCATAGTCTCACAAGGAGTCATATACGCCCTCGGAGGTAGTTTGACTTACTCGCCTTGTATCCTGTACATGGATGAGTGGTTCGACAAGCGGAAGGGTTTGGCATACGGAATCATGTGGGCGGGCACCGGCCTAGCCGGGGTGATACTACAATTACGCGTCAAAAGTTTTGCAACGCTAGCGCCAAATCTCTCCCCCACCATCACCACCACCACAACAACAACCCACTATAACTATGTCAACACCGCGTGTTTTTGGACGTGAGATATCGCAAAATGTACGGCGTAAGCCAAATATGAGTCTTTCCGAGCGCAATATAGCCATCGGGATGTGGAAAGCTGGCTGTACGATGGTAGAGGTGGCGGACGCGTGCGGGCGCTCGAAATCCACCATATCGCGCCTTATCAAGAAGGCCACCACAACGGGCACAACAGAAGA